TTGTTAATCCACAATTCATGGTGTATACCAGGGCCAGCACATCTCCACATTCACAGTCAGATATCAGTGCCCTTGGGGCTCTGGTCATAGTACCCCACTGAGAGAACAGAGCCTATATCCCATATAAGAATTAGGTTCTAACATGAGGCAAATCACTCCTGTGACTTTTCCTGGGGAAATGTGAGCAAATGTCTATTTACCTCAGGCAGGCAACATGACAGACAAAAAACAATTCTCACCAATTGGAGTTCCCTGAGCCGCTGGGATGACTGGGCTAACTTTGCTGGAGTATGGGTGAGGGGTTACGTACGTGAAGCATGGATAGCTCAAAGGCAGCTACATTTCTGAAAAGCCAACGTCAGCATGGGTGACAATGATAAAAGCTGCACCCCTAGAGCTCTCTGCACAATGTGCAAGCAGTTTGGTCCATGGGAGCCAGCTCTTCCCAGCAAGTATTACTGTTGCATAACCTTGGGGAGGACCCTTGAAAACTGGTAAGTTTTAGGAACTTCCAGAGCCTTATAAGTTTGTTTTCTTCCCTCCTCCCTCCAGGAAGCAACGTTTCAATTTGAAGGGAATAGCTTTAGCACCCCTCTTAAAATGCAAGACCTAACACTTGCTGAATACTCACCATCTGCTAAGCCACAGATTCTTAAATTGTGGGTTGCAACCCCATTCGAGGAAGTAGAACTGAAAGGCCAGTTCATGAAAATTTTGACAACTATAAGAGCATTCTAAACTTGGAGAAACAAAAACCAATTCAGAATCAAACCTCATCTTGTCCTGCTTATCCAAGCTGCAGTGTGCAACTTCATGACAGCCTTGGTTCGAACACCTGAATCATGAACCTAGCCCTGTGCACGCCAACATGTCACACAACACAAACAAATGCCACTGTAGCACCTCAATTCACGGTGAAGACTATCGCACCATATACATTGCAGTGTATTTATTATACACACGAAGTTTTCTACTCTTACAGAAACATTAGTTGAATTACAGAAAATGAAGACTTTTAGTATTTTCCCATCATCTTCCCTCAGAATTTAAACATAAAATTAGCAGTATGCCTTTGCAATGCTTACAATAGACTTTCCAGCAACTTCTGAAATGGCCTTAAGCATAACTCGACCATTTAAAATAAGCACGTCCATCTATTAGCATGCAAATTTGCTTTTATCTTTAATAAACTGAAAAATTATATGCATACCAAAGAATTGTGTTAAATTAATTTCTCTTTAATTATCATCAGTAAATGTTTATTTGTACACCTGTTTTATATACCTATGTACTTGGGGGGGCACATAAAAACAGTTGTGAGTAGACAGAGTTTAAGAATCTCTGTTAATCACAGTTCAGCTTCAGAAAAGTATCATCGCCCTTCATTTATAACTTGTCTTTATTTACCAAATGGCAGAATCAGATTTGAACCTTCACTGGCTGATGCTGAGGCAGGTGTGTATAGCCACAGTTACACCCTAGACCTGAGAATGCAGGACAAGTTTTCACTTGCGGTGATGGGAAGGAAAAGGCTGCGGGGGGTCTCTCTCTCTCTCTTCTGCCTCTTTACCCTGCACACTGTCTTGAGAGTACAGTTTCCTAGAAGTACATGATGACAGCAGCTGATTTGTGAAGGTGTCACCTTTTCTAACAGGAGGATTAAGTCAAGGTTCTTTGACTACCAAGACAAAACTCCTTGTTTGGTTTTCATCTGAAGTCCTGAAAATAAGACCACATTTAATATGTAGCACATTGACATTTTGAGATTCTCCAAGAAGTCAGTTTGTGGGATCTATTACCCCTCTCCGAGTCTGTGCAGCTCATGAGGCTATTATAATTCCTCCCCAACTCAGAGTCCAGACACATGGGACCACTCCCAGGTAAGGCTTTCCCAAGCTCTGTCAGAACCTTCATTTGCTCAGGAATACGGGAGCCATCACGGAGCTCATCAGACCCGGGCCTCCCACAGCTTCTACCTTCTGTCCATCCCCGCCACATTCTGTAGGCTTTCTTTTATGGTGGGGGAAGGAATGGTGTGCACTGCACTTATTCCGCTGAGGTTATTTCAAGACTGCTTCCATGCAGGAATATAGGTTGGCAGGTAGGTTAGCGCAGGGGCGGCTCAGGAGCACCTTGTTTTGAGCTTTCCTTGTTCCCTTTGCCATTCTTCATCTGACTTTACTTGAACAGAAATTTAAGAATCTTTCTTGAAAGGGTTTTTTTTTTAATATTGGGGTCTCAATAAATGCACTTTCCCCACTATAAATCCAAGAAATTTCTACTATGTGCATTGTATATAAAAACACACTGCATGTACTGTAAACCACATTAGGATCTGGTACTCTAAGTGACACTCTCCAGGCAGGACTCCATGCATCTTATGGCAATATTTTACCAACACACACACACACACACACACACACATACACACACACACACACAGAGAGAGAGAGAGAGAGAGAGAGAGAGAGAGAGAGAGAGAGATCCATAACCCACAGCAAGATTATGAGAAATCTTGGCTATTTGTAAGAGCAAGTAGAACTTTGGTTGCAACATGAAGCAGATTGAACTCTTAACTGATTTCATTAATTCTGAACATCTAAAAATCAGCAGCAACATTATCATTCTAAGCATATTCCATACTAAATGTGTGTATGTGAATGTGTGTGTGTGTGTGTGTGTGTGTGTGTGTGTGTGTACTGGGTGCGTGTGGGGGATGGCAACCGTGCCTCTCTGTGTGTGCTTGAATATGGAGTCCAGAGGACAACCTTCAGTGTCATTCACAAGAACACCATTGATTTCCACTAAGGCAAGGTCTGAGGCTCATCAATTAGGTTAGATTGGCCGGCCAGCAAGCTGAAGGCTCTTCCTATCTCAGTCTCCCCACCCAGTGCTAGGTTTGTGAACACACACCACTCCATCACTCCTGATGGCATGGGTTCTAAGAATCAAACTCAGGTCCTTGTGCTTATAAGTTAAGTGCTTTACTGACTGAGCTCCCTACAACCCCTTTATTCAATTCCTTTTTGGGGTGGGGGGAGGAAAGGGTTTATTTGGCTTACATCTCCCAGGTCACAATTCATCAGGGAGCCCAAGGTTGGAACTCGGGGTAGGAACCTGGCTGGGGCAGGAGCTGTAGCATAGGCCATGGAGGAATGCTGCTTACTGGCTTGTGCCCCTGGCAATTTTTAAATGTTCATATGAGAGTCCGGTGGAATTTCTTGACAAGGGCTTCCAAAACCATTCCTCTATTAGGTTCCTCCTCAGTACTCTTTTGTATTCCAAGGCTGGACTTTAGAGTGATGGATTCAGGATTTGCTTTCAGGTATTTTGATAGCTGTTGGAGTGGTTAGAATCAGTGTCAGTTCCCTCTCAAACTTTTAAACAATGAAACAACAACAACAAAAAGAAGCCAACTAATAGGTGAGTCAAAATTAATGCTAGAATGAAGAAAATCATGAGAAAAAGGGATATGAACGAAAAAGGGATAGTTGGTAGGTTTTGGTATCACAGAAATCAAAGCACCATTCACAAAATTATCTCTCTGTATATATTTACTTATAAGATCAAGTCTGATGATGATGATGAACTTATTTTCCTTTGAGATGAGGTTTTCTATTCCGTAGCCCAGGTTAGCCTTGGACTTAGAATCCTTGGCATCTCAGCCTGCTAGTAGCTGGGATCACAGGTGCTCTCTACCTTACCTGGCCAAGGATTAAGTTTTAAATACATAAAGAACATAAATTCATCCTTATATTAGCCTCCAAATGCAGGCAGGTTGTCTCTTTTTCTTGGCGCACGTTCTGTACCATCTGCAGAGTTGGAGGTGTGATAGTGGCTACCTGGTGTTCACAGACTCATTTGTCATTGTAGACAAATATGACTTTCTTGAAGCGCAATTTAGCTTTGCTTGGCAAACTTTGAAAATAGGCATATCGTTTTGCAATGTCCACACACCTATTGTGATTGTTCAGTACAGTATTGTTTAATGTCATGGGAAAGTATCTAAGTTTAAACGTTGTTTATTTTTGCTTTGTGTGTCTGAGTGTTATGCCTGCAGGTAAGTGCTCCTTTGTCTTAAAATGCCCACGGAAGGCAAAAGAGGGCATCAGGTCCCCTAGGACTGGAGTTATGGATGGTTGTTAGCTGCCATGTGGGTGCTTGGATTCAAACCCAGGTCTTTTGCAAGAACAGCTAGTGCTCTTAACTGCTGAGCCATCTGTCCAGCCCAAATATCTAAGTTTAAAATGCCACAAAACAATATATTTAGGATGATCACATTTTTCTTGAGAAAATGTTAAGAACGATTTTTTTTAAATGTCTTATTGATGTTATTTTGAGTTTGCAAACTTTCCAATATGAATATTAACTTCAGAAGTAAATTAATGTTTAAAGGCTATGGAATAGTACATGAAATGCCACCTTTGGTCAAGCAGAGTGGCATCACTAACACGCTGACACTGATGTTGGCCTGACTGTAGGAGCTGGGCTACATAGCAGGATAGAAGGCAGTTGACCTCTAAGATGAAAGTCAGCTTCCGTGGTTGAATCAGGTTCCGTGATGTTATGGGCACTGCCAGTGAGCAGCTCCTTTGGCTGGCCTCCTACTCCTCCCTAATCTACTTTGTCTTGGAAGGATAGCTATTATGGAAGAAGATGTTCATTTCAGTTCAGTATTGCACACCACTAGAATTTTGGTCTTTTTTATTGTTTAAGGAAAAAGATAAAGCAAGAACAAAATACTGAAATTTTAACTATGTTCCTCCTTGATCCACAAAAAAAATTCCCAGTAGTCCTATAAGGAATGAATCTCAGACTAGTTTGAATTATCGTAGGGTATACAAGTAAATTAGTGGATGTGAAATTATTTTAAAGCTTAACTTCACAATTTTTCAACAAACAAAATTTTCCTTCATTGATGAATTTGTGTATTGTTGGCTTTGGATGTTATACCAAGCAATGAAGGCATTAACGTGCTGTTTTGTTTTTCAATTGGGTAGGAAGTTGATGTTATTCTGTGTTGTCAAGAAAGAATGAAGCAACATTTGGATAAGGCTATTGCCCAACTTGCGTAAGAGCTTTTCTTCTCTATACACTTTGAAACCTGTGATTGAACTATACTTCCATCTCCCCATTCATATTTCTCTTAGCTTCTCAGAATACACACACATACACACACACACACACACATGTGCACACATGCACATGTGAGCACACACATGGGCACAGGGCACACACATTTTTTATTCAAAGGTTAAAATGAGAGTTTGGAATTATAGCATACATTTTTATTTCAAGAACAACTTGGAGGCATTGTGGAAAGGATTTCAGCCCTTGGTTGGAGTATGGCTAAGATTTTTCTTAACTAAGTCTTTTACTTTTTGGCATGTGTTCAGTCATGACAGTTGAAAAAGCACTAAGTTGTGTTTCCCTTATGTTTATTTTCATACCTCTTTAAAGAGCCACATCTCCTAATTACATCATCACATCATTCACCCTTCCCTGTAGCTCACCATTCCACTGCCGTTGTTTACTCTTAACTATTCTCCACCAGTACACACATTCCTCAAGGGTTTAGATTCTCAGGCACTTATGGCAAGGATGTGGGAAGAATGGGAAGGGGGAAGAATAATAATCAAAGGAAGTTCTTAAGTTGTGATAACTGCTGTCAGAGTAGAAAAAGTATTGACTGAACCTGTTTCCAAACAGGGCAAGAAGGTCACTGCTGATTATGGTCACAGGTAGAAGTAGTGTTGAAAATGCCCCCAAAGAGATGATAGCTATGCATATGCTGATGCTAACAAAGATGGCATGTGATATACCTAAAGGAACAAATGTCAGAGGTATCAATTACTGTCCGCTTAGTTTGCCCAACCTGCACATTGAGGTCAACACCGGGAGGGTTAGTGAGGTTTACACCCTGAGACTCTCCAGAGGTGTCATTAGAAGATTCTTTAATTTAGAAAATGGTGAGAAAGACCACAAGATTATTGAGGGTGCCTGGCATGGTATTGTTATAGAGAGTGTAGCTCTGTTATGAGTTCCTGGTTTTTACCTTAGGAATTGCAGAAACAGCACTTAGCATGTTTCAAAGAATTGTTTCCGTGCTTCTGGTTCCCATTTTCTTTCAGAATCTAAAATCTGCTGCTGTTTTTGTGCCCTTTGGATTTTTATGGCCCAGATTGTTCCATGCTGGAATAGTGTAAGGTCCCATTCAAATTGTCTCCCTACTGGCTATTTTACAAACCTTTGCCTCAGGTCCTAACTATGTGTGTGCACTTGCTTGGAATCTTTTTTTATTTGTTTTTAATTGAATTTTTGTGTATTTCCTACAGAACATCTTAATCAATCTTAATCATCTTTATACCCCTGTCCCCCTCCACAACCCCCCCCACTGGAGCCCATATACTTTGTCACCTCTGTTAAGGCCCACTGTGTCAAGTCAGTGTCCTCAGACATTCCCCAATGCAAGCTCATCCACTGAGATCTCTCAGCCTATCTAGAGTCCCTTGTTTTAGGAAGATCAGCTTTTCTTCACCTAGCACCAATCAGTTGTCAATATTTCTTCAGATAAGACTGGGGTCTGCTGTTCATTTTCCAAGTTCTATTCTGGGTTTTTGTCTGCTGAGTTTGCATGGGACTTGTGTATGCTGACACCATTGCCATAGAATCATATGAGCAGGTTCCCAGGAGCTTGTAGGACTCTGTTTCCATATGGTCATGCACCTCCTCCCTGACTCTTACAATATAGCCACCCCTCTTCCATTATGGTCCCTGAGCCTTGGTTGGTTGAAGTTTAATAAAGGAGTCCTGTCCAAGGACCAGCATTCACCAGACTCTTGATCTCTATGTTCTGTCCGTTTGTGACCTTTTGTCTTCCTGGCCCTCCAATGCATGAGGGAGCTTCATTAATGAGAACTGAGAGATTCACTAGTATCCTCTTCTTTACCCCTGTTCTATGTTCCACGAGCCTTAGGTGTAGAGGTTGCATTGTAGATGTGTCACTTAGGCCTGGGAAATTCATAGATAATGTCCGTGTGTGACCAGTTGTGGTACTTGGTAATAATCTCCAACTGGTACAAAATGAGCTTTTTTGATGAGTAGTGACTGGGATATTTGTCTGTAAATATAAGGATATATATTTTTTACATAATAAAAAAATCACATGAGTCTAGGGATGTGACAGTCTTGGGGTTTTCCCTAAGGTCTATGGCCACTCCAGCCATGTTATGTTTGGTTGTGTTTACAGTACCACACTTGAATTTCCTCCCATTGAGTGGGCTTTTTAGTCCAATTAAATAGCTGTTGATTGCCCCCATGATAAAAGGGCCACTATTGTGCCAACATCATATGCTGTGCTGCTGGTGATCCTTTAAGATCCTTGGCTTTGCTTCAATATATAGTGAGCAAAACCACTGCCTCTTTTCTCTGGATGGCTTTTCCACTGTGCTCTCTCCAGCGATAGTGATGGAAGCAGGGTTTCTCTTGTTTTAGAAGCAGCAATCATACCCTCAGACTGGGTCTCAGCTGAAAATAGAACCTTAATGGGTGCTAACCTGGGAGCCAAGATTCTTGCCATCGTTGGCTATAAGACAGGTTGATGAGGTAACACCTCAAATACCTTTCCAAGGAGCCTGAGATCAACTGAGAATGTGTCCGGTCTCCCCTTCTCTTCAAGGGTGCCATTCCAAGAGAGGATCATGCTGGACCCAGGTCACAGACAATACAGACATTCTTGTCCAAATGTTCAACATAAGCCAAGCCAAGAGGCTCAGCAGAGCAGTGGCAATGGAAGGCTCCATTCTATTTCTATCCTTTGTGCACATATTGTTTCAGAATTCACAAAATGCAGATAGTTTACCTGATGCTTCCCATTTCTGTTTTACAAAGAATCAAAAATCAAACTTTAGCTGACAGGCCAAATGGTCTATTTAAAGTCACAGGCCACCTTGAGGAGAAGCTGCTGCTGGAATTGGTTCGTTCAACTGGAAACAGTCTTTACTGAGTGGCTCCAGGGTCCACCCTTTTTAGGGTGTAAGCACAGAAGTGATAGAATTGTGCCGCTGTTCTGCTTCTCACAGACACTGTGCTAACAACTCTCAACTTTCTATTTCTAGCATAGACTTTCCCAACTTCTAACAACCTACCTGTGTTTCTATGTGGATAATGATCACTTATGCCTAACTGACCTCCCTCTCCCGAGCTCCTGCTCCTAGCTCAGGTGACAGAATTTCACCAATTCAATGACTCAATTTAAGTTCTTTGTCCTCACTGGAGTCCAGCCTCATAGGAGATTCTCTTCCTTCTTAAATATACCCAGAATCTGAACACGTCTTCTCTCCTTCCTTCTGCCCCCTTGGCCTGTCCCGTCTTATTCCCCAAGTCTTCCAATAGGTCTTTCCAGATCTCCTTTAATCTGTTCTTGGCAAAACACCAGAATGATTCTTTTAAATGGCAAGTGAGTTTCACATAGAAGAAAATCTGTTAGTTTCCAGTGTCCAACCTGCATGATTTGATTGTTCCTTTTCCACAACTTTATTTGGTTTCACCTGGAGAGACCTGTCCTGACAGGAGGTCTCTCCAGGTGAAAAGCTCTTGCTATGGTACTCCTGGTTCCTGCTTTCATCTTTGCATTGTTCAAGCCACACAAAATGCCCATTTATGCCCAGATGTATATTTCTTATCTCCTCCCAGTAGAACTAAGCTTCTTAGAGAAGAGTTTCTGCTTTGCTCACTCTTTCCCAGGCTCTCAATAGACACGAATCAGTTATATGCTGAATGAACTGTCTCATGAATCAACAATGTCCACCTGTCACCTATGCCTACTCCCATTCAGGACTAGTCTCTGGACATAAGTTGGGGGTGTGGTGGTGGGGGTCCTCTCTCTGCCCAGAATTCAGGGAAGACTGTGTATCGCAAAGCTCTTCCTTCCCAGTATTGGGTTGCTGAAGTGAACTGCCAGTTCCTGACCTTATGCCAAGCACTTTTGGAAATTAAAATGTCCTCATATTTTATATCTCCTGGCAAACTTCTTAGCCATAACATGTCTACAAACTGAGGTCACCAATGGATAGAGGGAGGCTTTGCTGTAAATATCTCATAGTTTCTTGGAAGAGCTATATTAAACACATAGAGCTGAAGGGGGTAAGAATATAGAAGCTGAAGAGAAAGGAGGAAGGGAAGGGCACACATCACTGCAAGCCAGTGTCCCGTCTGGAACAGTTGGTATGTGTTGGGAACACCTGCTCTACCTCCTCTCCCTACTTCCCCACTCCCCATGGACAGGAAATATGGGCAGAGCAAGAGTAGAGTTCTCATGCCTCACATGGCCATCTCCAAGATGCTCCTTTAGACTGGATATTGACTGCTGTGTGATAGAGGAGAGAGTGACAGGTTCCAACTTACAAGGGCGATGTCCCTTCTTGTGGGAAGTTGTTGCCTGACTGTGAAGCCTCAACTCTTGTTTCTCGCCCCCTGTATTGTAGCTCTGATAGAACTGCTCAGCATGAGCTGGAGAAAGACTTGAATGACAAGCAGGCAGCCTACCGGATCGACGACAAATGCCACCACCTGCGTAACACTTCTGAAGGCATCAACTACTTCCGAGGAGTGGAGAGAGTTGATGCCACGTAAGCCAACATGTGCTATTCTGCCATCTTGATGACATTCATTCATTTTCTTTCATTTCAAAATGATACACTTTACAGACTGTCTTAGTTCATTTTCTGCAGTTATCACAAATCCCTGATACTCAGTGCTATTAATAAAGAACAGGTTTCTTGGGCTCACAGTTCTAGGGGTCTGGAAAATTCAAGGTGGCAACTTCTAGTGAGGGTTTGTATGCTGAAGAAACAGAAGGCAAGTGAGCATGTGTAGAAGAAGAGGTCGGAGGGGCAGACTCTACTTTCATAACAGTCCTCTCTTGGAAAGCTAGTCAACGCCAATGAGAATTAACCCGTTCCCTCTAGAAAGACGTGAATACAGACTAGGGATATAGCTCGGTGGTGGTGTGTCTGCTTAGCATGCACAAGGCCCTGAGTTTGTCCCTATCTTCAAGATAAAATTGTTTTTAGAGGCTGGGCATGGTGGCATATACCTTTCATCCAGGGATTCAGGAGGCAAGATCTCTGTGAGAGTGAGGCCAGCCTAGTGAGTTCCAGGCCAACTGGGACTACAGGAAAACCTTGTCTCAAAAAAATTAAAAACATTGTTTTTGAATGTTTCTTAATGACTTAATCACTTCTTAAAGGCGCCACCTCCCGGTATGCACAAACGTCAATCAAATTTCAACACGGGTTAAAATGATGACAAAACATGGCCAGGTGTCTGAAGGTGTGGCCTTGGACACACTTCAGCAAACACATTCCAGAGAGACAATTTTACCATCCTGTATTCTTTTGCCAAAGAATGTTTATTTTTATCACGAAAACAGTGTCTGCTTGAGGCAGAAAACTAGGGACAGACACAAAGGAAACCACACATTGCCAATTCTTAGATGCCCCGGGCCCTGTGAGATGCAGGCTGTAAATCCCAAATGTGTTTCTAACCACTGCTTCTCACATTTGCCTTCCCAGTCTTTTGCCGGACCTGTGATGCCAGCTTGGGCATGACTTATAGTTTGAGCCAGCTACCTCCTTTAAAAAATGTCCAAATGACTGAGTGAAGTTTGTGTACAATAAAATGACCCAGTAGCACATATATTTCAGTGGCTTTTAACATATTTAAATATCTGTGTAACCACAACTACACTCAAGATAGAGCTTTCATCACCCATCTGAAAATCCTCAATAGTCCTTCCCACACTCATGGCTCATGTCCATGAACCTCCTCTAAAGTGACTCCCATGTCAATTCTGTTCTATGGGTGTCTCCCCCAAAAAGCAGCTCCCTGTCTTGAGAGCCACAGTGCCAGTTAGCACCTTGGACTTTTAAATTCTTCAGGTTGGGGCTGGAGATACAGCTCAGCATTAAGAGCACTGGCTGTGCTTGCAGAGGACCGGGTTTTGTTCCTAGCACTCACATGGCAGCTAACAACCATCAGTAACTCTAGTACCAACAGATCCACTACCCTCTTCTGACCTCCTCAGGTGTTGCATGACATGGGTACACTTGCATACATGCAAGCAATGCACTCATTCACATAAAATAAGAATAATAAATTTTAAATTCTTCACGTATGAATCACAGCCAGAACCTGTGTTCTACATAGTCCTCATATGATGCCTGAAACTCAGCTTGAGGTGAGCTGGCAGTATCTTCTTTGCCTCCCTGGAGGATCACAGGTAGACTGTGATCAAGCCACATGTTTTCAACACTGAGACCTTTGAAAGGACTCCATTTCCAGTATGAATGCCTTGTCATCCCTTACAAAATATCAGGGCATGCAGCATTCATGACATTATTTTGGTCATTGACTCCTAAGCTGAAGTCTCTAGACAACATTCAGACTCTTATTTAATCTTTATTCTAAGGACAAGCAAACAGCTATCATCCATTAAGCCTACCATCTAGAGACACCCAAGGTTAACAACTGGCCACTGGTCCTTCCCACACCTACAGATGTTGGTTCACATTCTTAAAGGGTGATATTTCACAGACACCATTTGTATAGCCTATCTGATTTTTCACTTCATGATGTATCAGTGATGTTGTTTGTGAGCAAAATATCCCTAGGTTAATAAATATTCATTAATTTGCATGCTACCTAGATTATTTTTCACATAATCTAGCACTTTTTGCACTTTTTCACAATTATGTTGTTTCTAGTTTTTCAAAACTTTATATAAATACTGCTGAAACAAATGTACTTGGGACTACTATTTCCTTGTGGTCATAGAATTTCTGAGTTGTAAACATTTAAGTGGTAGTACCTTGTTTAGCAGAGCCTCCCAAGCATGTTCACCAGCTGCAGATGAGCAGTCTTCCCCTTTGCCATTCTGAGAAAGGCTTCTCAGTGCACTGTTTTCATTGGCACATCCTTTCAAAGGCAATCCCAAGGGTGATAGTTTGTGCCTGCTCATTGGGCTGGCTATGAAACACTTGTAATGAACCCACAACACCCTTATCCTGCAGTAATCCATCCCCCAAGCTGACAGAAGAGCCACTTCATGCTTTTTGTTTATAGGCTATCAGCTAACAGAACAGCAAGAAGCAGTTGAGGGAATTTTCAAATAAGCTTTGCTCTGTTGCTTGTATTTTGCACTGGTGGTTGGAGTCTTTCTCTTGCAGGATGAACTTTTTAGGCGGATGTATCATTGTCGTCACTGGTTCTCTTCCCATTCTCAGGGTGTCAGTACCTGAATCATGGGCCAAGTTCACAGATGACAATATTCTCCGCTCCCAGAGTGAACGAGCGGCCTCTGCCAAGCTGAGAGACGATATTGAGAATCTTCTGGTTGTGACAGCCAATGAGATGTGGAATCAGTTCAACAAAGTGAACTTGGCTTTCACAAATCGCATTGCTGAGACTGCGGATGCTAAGAACAAAATCCAAATCCACTTATCCAAGGTAAAGAGCATACTTTGTGTATGAGCTGTGTCCAGGGCTAGGGGTGCAGTTCAAAGGTAAACGGTATGCTTGGCACATGAAGTGTACTCAGAGCGAGGGGTGCAGTTCAAAGGTAAACGGTATGCTTGGCACATGAAGTGTACTCAGAGCGAGGGGTGCAGTTCAGAAGTAAAGAGAATACTTAGCATATTAAAACCAGGTGCTCAACCCCCAGCATGGAAAAGAAAAAAAGGAAATCAGTCATAGGTTCTCCTTCACTGACGTGGACAAGGCAGGGTGCTCTGAGACCACAAATCTCTCACCACTCCCAGAAAGGGGCCATAAGACACACTGCCTCCTGGTCATATGGACTGAGGAAAATTAAAAGCAGTACAAAGCATGCTATTTATTTCAGTCAGGTAACCAGGTGTCAAAATGAAATTAGAATTCACTGGTGTTTTAGAACACAAAGATTGGACTGTGTAGGGGAAGGTTCTTAGTATTTAATGGAAACAAAAATATTATGATTTAAGCTTAATAAATCGCTGTATAGTGAGTTTATTATTAGAACATATGGTGGGGAGGTTTTTGTTCAATCATTTCAGACCCTTTTTCTGGATGAAAGAACCAAATACAGGAAACAGGTAGGTGGTGTGGCGCACTCCTGATTTTGTGAATTTTTAAGTGTTCTAAGCATGGGAGTTTGAGGATGAGAACGGAATGAAGGATTCACTCAGAAGTCACATTTCAAAATAAGTAAGGAGTGCTCCCTTTACTGAGGGTTGGCCTCGGAGCTGCTACGTTCCTCATTGCCCATCTCTTCTTTCCCAGTGCATGGTACTGTGCTTCCCCAGATGGCAGCACTTCACCTCTTCTCACTTATGCAGCATATCAGTTAGCCTGAGGGGTGTGCTTTGATGTGCAGGGCAGAGAAAATAATAAAATCAGCTTTGTTCCCAAGCAGCTTGTATATTTGGAGATGTACACATAGGAAAAGCTCACAGACTATTAATAACATTAGGAGGTTAGACACTACCATTGCTCATAACAAAAGCAGAAAGCACGTGTGGGGTTTGGGAGGAGTAGCGAGTGTTCCAAATGGGGTTACACCACAAACAGCACAGGAGGCAGCAAATCAGGGACTGAGTTCAGGTCCACAAAGAGGCTAGTAAGGCTGGCGTGGATGGTGTGTGTCCTAGGAGAGAAATTTGGGAAGGAAGTTGGAACTACAGTGCAGAAGTTGATAGGAAGGCATATGGGGTTAGACGTTGTCCCTTGAGCAGTAAGGTACAATTCTGAAAGGCTCTGATGTGATAGGATTCCTGTGTTTATCAGATTTTTGTTTACTACTGTGATTGTTTGCTAGCATTGTGGTCAGGTGAGGTGCTACAGACTGACTGGCCTAAACAGCAGAAATTAATTCCTGGCTGCTATAAGTCTGAGTTCTAGGTGCCATAGGCTGCTTGCTTCTGAAGCCTCTTTCCTTGGACTCTATTGTAGCCTCTTCTCTGCATGTGTCTCTCTGTGTGTATCTGGGTCCCCAGTTCCTCTGTTTATAAGCACAATAGGCATACATTCTAGAGTTGCACCCACCCTGTTGACCTCATTTTAGCTCAACTCTGCAGAGACTCAGTCTCCAAATAGGGTCACATTCTGAGATTCTGGGGGTTGAGACTTTGAGATATGAAGTTTTAGGGTGAGGACACATAATTCAATCCAGTACATTCCAGGTGCCATGCTAGGCACACTGGAATGAAGACACACAGATATCATACTGATCCTAATGTCTCATGTCTTAATGAGACAAGATACACACAGACACAGACACAGATATACATACATACATATACACGCATATACAAACACATATACACAAACAAACACACACACGCTACATACAGAGATACACAGAAACACACACATAGACAGACAGACAGCTCCCCGACCACCACCACCACATGGAAGTCCACTGGGAAGGTTCAGAAATAACTACTCAGAATCAGAGATAAATGTTAAGATTATTTTAACAGGAGGAGTTGTCTTCTCGGGTGAGAAACAGGCATGGTTGTTTTTGACAGGTTGATAGAAACTTGGGAAAGAGGTCAAAGCCCAAGTTAGGAATGCCTGAATTCCAGAGGCATTAAATAGGTGTGGTTATGTGAGGTCTCTGCAGGTAGAGGACATAGTAGGGAAAGTTCTCCAGGACAAACCTTGGTGGTGGGATAAGGAACAGTTAGAAAGTCAGGAGTTGGGCCAACATGTGGCCGAAGAAAACAAGTGAGGCAAGATTTCAAGGACAGGGAGGAACCTAACAGGCTTTGATGTGGCTTTGAGAGGCCTATTCATGAAACAGTGAGCACTAGAGTCGCAATACAGGAGCCTCTGCAATATCAGGTGGATGGGAGGAGGAAGGAGTGGGCACAGGCCGTGGATAAACATATTTGACAGGGAAGGGTTTGGAGAAGGCCTTGCTGGGATTAGATGGGAGAGTGGCAGAAAGCACATGAGGTTTTGAAACTGTGCTGGTGGTATCTGGGCTGTCTCCAGGCCACAGGAGAGGAGCCATGATCGAGGTCCCAAAACAGTGAGGATATTGAACTTGTGAGGATGCAGAGAGCAAGGTCGTAGAAGGATGGATGTTCAGAGCAGAGAGGAGGAGAACTTGGAAGGAGCAAGGTTTTCAGGATCGTGTTCCTCCTCCCAGAGGTTGGGGAGGCAATGCAGGCCAGGGTGGGAGTGGCAGAGGCTGTCCAGGGAAGAACAACAAGATTTAGGTGATTACTTCTTATTGTCACAGACCCTGCAGGAGATCTTCCAGACCGAAATGACCATAGAATCCATCAAAAAGGCCATCAAGGAAAAGTCTGCCTTCCTGAAGGTGGCCCAGACCCGGCTGGATGAGCGAACAAGGAGACCAAACATAGAGCTGTGCCGGGACATGGCTCAATTACGGTAAGGCCAGTGTGGAGATGTGTGGGAGGGGAGAGCTTGGGGACCTTGCCTGGCTGCAGCAGGGCTCTGCAAATGGATGTTTCCTGATGACGTGGGACATGTAGGAACTTTCTTTAAGTGCTACTAATGGGGAGATGAGATGTTGAATGGGTAGGAATTTCAGTTTGGGAAGATGGAGAAAGTATTGAGATGGATGGTAGTGATGGTTACCTGGTGATATGAAGGTATTTAAAGTCACCAAACTGAACACTCAGCAATGGTTATAGTGGTAAGTTTGGTGTTATGTATTTTTCACCGTATATTGGCTAAAAATTGAAATGACAACACATTGCATGAAAAGTATGTTTAGCTCATTCAAAGCATTCGTGGTGATGTTTAGGTCTCTGTGAACTTCCCTGGAGTCTGCAGTTTCTGGGAACCCGCCTTGGAAGCAGCAGAAGTTGCTGAACTGTGTATTTCTCAGTGTGGGAAGATGGTGGAACTCATCAGAAAAGGAACTTTGAGCCCAATTCCAATGCCCACTGTGCACTCAGCTGCTGTCTGTGGCATTGTTCTTGCCATGGAGATCACCCTCAGCCTCTCTAGGAGTCCCAGGAGCCCTGCTGGGCTGTTTCAGTGTGTGCTCAGTAGGAATAAGACCAGCTGGATGCTCTTCATCCAGCCAAGCTCCCCCACACACACAGTGGGAGGGACCTGCTGGCACACTGCACGGATCTTATCATTCTAACTTTGAAGATCTCTTTCATGACAGGCTTAGAATGGGTTGACCAGGAAATTTCTTTTCTCTACAACTACAGTTGCATACCTCCAGATCTCCCCTTTCTGTCTGGATTCCTTCATTGTGAGTCCCAGGTCATGAGGCACCTCTTATGAAGGAGACTTAAATTGATAGCAGTGGGAGGGACAGAGGTGCAGTGGATAGATGCCATGAGCCTGGTCTTCTAGACCTGGTTTCATGAAGGACTTATCCTAAGAATAAAGTCACGATGGATTTATCATAAAACTGCTTTAGACACTACCAAGGAAACCAATGGTAGTTCAGAGTGATCATTTGCTGGAAGGGAAGGAAAGGAGGGCTCTCGTGAGGTCAGTTGGGGATGATGGTGATGATGACGGTGATGACGAATACAATGATGGTGATAACCAGACGTGGATAATAACAATGGCCACTCTGCCTTGATCTTGCTCCATGTGTGGCACCGTCTACTCTATTTTGTAGAATCTCATTCACTTCCATCATTTTGCAAATGCGAAAAGGGGGCAGCAACTGGCTGTGTGGCTTCACCTAGATCACACCTCCTGCTAAGAGACAGCCAGAGCTTGAATTCTTCCTTGTGTCCCTGCAGATGAAATGTGGTACTGGTGGGGTACTGGAAGGTAGTCAGATGCTACCTACACTCAGCCAAACTATTTGCTTCTGCTCCCTCAATCTTTTGGACTGCCTAGGACTTAATCATTCCCCTGCTGTGTACCTGAGCTCAGTGGACCTTCTTAATGCCAATATGATGCAGGTTGACAAAGTGCCATATCTTCATCTCTTTCTGTAACAGAAGATGGTCGAGTACCCTGAACATCATTACTTGTCAACACCCTCCATGTATAACATGAATGTTGACTGTATTGGATGCTATGAAACATGACTAGAATACAGATTGTTCCCGATCAAAGGTTTTTGACATTTTGACATGAAGGGTGTCCAGTTCTCAAGTTCCGTGCTTTCAATGCACTGTTCCGTAAGGTACATGAGATAGTCAACATTTTATTATAAAATCGACTTTGTGTTGGATGCTGGATGAGTCTGCCCAGCTGTAGGCTAATGTAAATGTCATGACCACATTTAAGGTAGGAAAGGCTGACCTATGATGGTCAGTGGGTTAGATGGATTAGATATGTTTTTGATATTTTCAGTTTACCATGGGTTTAGGACATAACCCATCATGAGGTCTAGCAACATCTGCACACTAATGGCCTTTGCAGACTAGCTGTATGTCTCCAAATGGAGCTCTTTTCTATTTTTAAGAGTACTTTAAAAACATTTATTTTGTTTTAGTTATGTGTGTATGTGTGGGAGGGTGGGTATGTGCAAATGGGAGTGCAGTTACCCTCAGAGACCATCCATCAGATTCTTGGAGCTGGAGTTACAGGCAGTTGTGAGTCACCCAGTGTGGGTGCTGGGAACTAAGGTGGAGTTCTCTACAAGCCACAGACACATGGGTGGTCACCCAGGCTGCGTGCTTCTCAGAATGAGCTCTTCCCACACAGCCCATTAATTTGGACAAGTTGCTCTCTATACCAGAGGCAAGACAGGCCCCTGTACAACTGGTGGAAGTGTGTCTGCTTCTACAGAACCTGCAGTATGAGTATGCCCACTTGGCTGGTTCAGATTGATGGTGAATTGTGACTTTATGAAGACACTCTGTGTGAAGGTATATGTTCATGCATGTTTGCAGTGCCCTTGAGCATCTGTATACTTGTGAAGGGCAGAGGTTGACAGTCTCCCTCTGAACCTTTCTACCTTACTGGGTATTTTGTTTTGTTTTGTTTTTCTTTTTGTTTTGAGACAGGGTCTGTCACTGAGCTCAGAGCTGGTCATTTCCGCTAGACTGGCCAGTGAGCCCCAGGGATCTACCTGCTTCTGCCTCCTAGTGCTGGGGTTGCAGGAGTGCACTGTGGGCCCAACTTTTTATGTGAATCCTGGGGACTTGAACCTAAGCCCTTATGTTTGCACAGCAAGCACTTTACCCACTAAACCCTCTCCCTCCCCCACCCCCTTTATGCAAATATTATTAGAAGGAGCTGAGCTGAAGTTTCTTGGTCCAAAAAATTTCTGCAGAGTTATCTAAAGTAGAGATGGAAAAACTTCTTCAGGCTGCCTTTAGCTAAATATGGAGTTTTATTTTTGTTCATTTTTATTGTGTTAATTCTTAATGTTGGGACTGGAACCCCGAACCTGGCAAATGTCTGAGAACCCAGAGCTCATCAGTATTGCTAACCAGGTTGTTCCAGGATCCCCTGTCTACTGCCTTCCTAGGCTGGAATTATAGGCAGGTGCCATGCCCACCTGACATTTACGTGGGTTCTTGGGATCTGAACCCCAGTTCTCATGTTTGAACTCTTTAACTACTGAGCCATCGTCTTCCCAGTCCCAGTTTTGAGCAGTGACTTAATGTGACTCTGGGGAGGCATTCACAGCTCCATCTGAGCAGCTGATGGATTTTCTCTTTAAACGTTTCCCCCTTTCCTGGTTAAACTGGCTGCTTTTTCTTTTGCTTCCTGTTGACTTTCTAGTGTGTCTATTTCCTCTCCTTCATTATTGACTTTAGAACAAAGCCTCCTTTTGTTTCTTGTTAGACTATCCTTGCCAAAAATATTTAGAATTATTATTTGGGGTGAAAATTGTTTTCTTTTTTTCAAAATTGATCACTCTAAAAGCAACTCTCCGATTGTCTAAACTGAAAAAGATCATAAACACTGTGGTGAGGGGATAGAGAAAAATCACTGCTTTCATTTCAAGACTTTTATTTTCATTTAAAATCTTTTAAGCGAACTCTTTCAAACGTGGCTCTAAACCTTTTTGGCGTCTGTTGAAAACTGATTTAAGTCTCTGCTTGACTTAAATCTTGTTCTTAAAAATAAACTATAGTAGACTTATTTATATTTGAATGAAAAACAATCTCAAGTCTGTATTTTTTTTTAATTGAGTGGCTTCCACAAAATAGTTTTGTACAATCAGCTAAAACCAAGGAAGGCAGAATGAGTTGTGGCCTTGTCGGCGATGTGGCTTTCTGATAGCTGGAGCTGGGGGAGGGTGTCCCCTTGCTGTACACACGAGCAACAAGAAAATGAGGGCTCTTTCGGCCTGCCTTCTATGGACCTTACATTCAGTTTTGCTTTGACATTGATATTTAAACGTATTTCTTCTCAAACAATTTCTCATAGGTGAATTTTCACTAGACTAGCATTTGGCTACTGGAGTAAAAAAATGTGTTTATGTTTGGGGTTCCCTTTGAAGCCATGGAGGACTGGGAGAAGAGGCAGGAGCCGTGGATGTAGATGATAAACAGCACTCATCATAAATCCCGCACTGCAGCAGCCTCCCCAAGAGCTGTTTCTTTGCTGGTGACATTTTATACCCTGGAATCATTTTTAAAAGACGTTCTTTTTAATCCAACCTACTCTTCAGATGAGTTTTCAGACTTTACGTTTATCATCCTCAGACCTTTGGAACTTGGGCACTTAACTCTTAACCCTAGCCATAAACCTAACCCAATAGGGAAGGGAGAAAAAAAATGGAGATGAATGGTGTAAACGTGTTTCTATGGCATGAGCTGGTGTGGGTCTCCCTTTTTCCTGCAGTGGCAGAGACAGAACTCGAGGAATTGTACATAGTAGGCAAGTTCTCATGACTGAGTCCCACAGCTAGTTTCTAATTTCTGTATCCCAGATTGGCCTTTACACCCAGGCTCCTCCTGCCTCGGTCTCCAGAAGATTAGAATTATAGCTGTACACCACCATGCTCGCTAGATGTGAAACTGCCACTTAAGTTTGAATTTTTTGGATAATCAGTGATCATATTTTAGCATAAGTGTCTCCCAAATACTACACAGCACTCATACTAAAAATACTTAATGCTAAGAACAGATTATGTTGAATGTTAACCAGTGACAAAAGGGAGGCAATTCTCCTGTGCCCTGCAATTGGGATAAAGCTTGAGGACCATGCTAGAACACAAGCCAGTGGCAAAGGAGCAAATACTGTGTGTGATTCGACGTATATGAGGCACCCTGAGTAGCTACATTCATAGACACCACCACCTGGTGGTTGCCGGGGTCTTGAGAAAGGAAAGATGGGAATTGAATTTCAGTTTTACAAGAAAGTTTTCTGTGGGAAGATGATGGGGATACTTGCACAGGGAATGGGAACACACTTGTCACTGAGCTCCCATGCTTAAGATGTAAATTCTATGGTATGTGTTTTGTACCACGAATAAAAAAATGCTTGGCACTAAAAATGACTTGTTTATCTGATATTCAGGTTCATTTGGGCAGGCATCCTGTATATTATCTGAGTGGATTAGAGAAAGGAGATGGGTCATCTCAGAGGAGCCTGTCCTGAGGCCAGCCTCCCACCTCTCTGCTTCTACCCCTTTATTACAAATAGTGGAGAGGGTGGGGACAGGAAATGGGACTCTGTTCCTTAGCTTAACCACCCAGGCTCTGTATTTCCTTTCCAGCTTCCAGGATAGCCTGGCATTGCATATGAGCACATATGGGCTGTGTGTCTGTGGATAAGGAGCTCAATTTCCTCATCTGTCAAACAAGGAAGCTGGATTTGATGACCTCCAATGTACCCTCTCCAGTTGTAAAGCCTGTGAAGCTGTGCAGTTGTACTGGCATCCTGGTTTTAAAGTGGTTTGGATATTTTTCTATCATCATGAAATCTTTTTCTCTCTAGGGATGTCCATATCTTTATTTTGTCATAGTTACTCTTCCGTTCATATTCCATGTATTTTAACTAATTCCATGACCCTTTAATTTGCTAGTAAATTAACTCATTGGGAAGAACAGTTTCAATTTTGCATCACTGATTAGAATTTGATGAACATTCATCAAGATTCCTGGGGGTTGGTCTTGGATATCAAGACCCACGGGGGCCAAGTCCCTTATTTAAAATGACGCTGCATCTGTATATAGCCTATTATATCCTCCTATGAATGAATGAATTATTCCATTCATTGGAAGATTACTTATAACACCTAATACAATGCAAATGGTATTACACTGCCTTGTTTAGGGGATGATAACAAGAAAAAAGTTGGCACATGTTCAATATGGACACATTTTTTTCTCAGTATTTTTAGTCTATGATTTGTTGGATCTGGTGGATAGACACTTACAGACACAAAGTGCTGACTATACTTAGAGTTAGATTTTCAACTGGCTGAGTCAGAGCAACAGTAAGAACAGCTTAGAGAGCTCCTTACAAAACCATAAGGAGAGTCACTGAAGCTCCTGGCTCCTCAGTTTGTGCATTTGTGAGCAGAGTCAATCCCAGTATCTGTGTCATAATGTTGTTAGGAAGATTAAATAGTTCCTATAAAGTGCTTAGAATAGCACTTGCGTGGTAGTCAGTGAACAAGCTGTGACTGTAATCGTTGCTTTTCCATAATCTATTCCTACTCTTTCCTTTGAGGGCAACTGGGTCACCTCCTTGGGATACTATTGGTCAAAACAGTTAATAATTATTCCTTAGGAAGAAAAAGACTTTCTAAATATAAACACAGTAGAAGAAATCCCAAATCTGAAAAGAGAGAAATTAGCTTACTAAAAATTGAAATCTTATGTACAGCAAAACATAAAAAAAATGGAGGCAACAATAATTTAGGGAAAATGTCTTCCACAAGCATAACAGTCGAAAGTATACCTAGCACTTATAGAAGCACGTCTAATAGTGAGGTTTTTATGCAAATGACTATGATAACTAGTACTCCTCCAGCAGGAAAATGAGCAGAAGACACAGGGCAGCCGATCACAGATGGAATACAAAGTGGCCCATAGACATAGGAAAGGTCTGCAACAATCCAGAAAAACATGAAAATCAAGACAGTATTGACCCAGTTATTGAGAAGGAGCTGCTCGATTTTTGTAACAATGTTTTTCTGTCCTGACGACTGTTTTTATTGGCAGATCAAAAGCATCAGTGGCAGTGATAGTTTCACGGTTTATGCAGTTTTGTGGCAAGTTTCCTATAATATCGTCTTCATGTTGCAGTAAGATGTTGAAAACTACAGTATGTGCGCTTTGGAACTTCGGGGTTTTAAGTAGGACTTTGGTGGGAGGAGTGACCTTGCGATTTGAGGACTGCCCTCTCCTGGGATATGATAATAGGTTGGGCAGGATTATAGATACTGAAGGTAGTTGAGTATCCCTCCCTCCTCAACTCTAAAAAGTATTTTTCAAGGCTAAAGCAAATGATAAAAAGTCCCAGATAGGTTTTTCTTTTTTCCCTGTTTTTATTTTTACAAAATAGCGAATGTGGGGGCTGGTGAGGTGGCTCGGAGGTTAAGAGCACTGGTTGCTCTTGCAGAGGACCCAGGTTCGAATCCCAGCACCCACATGGCGGCCAACAACTGTCCATAACTCCAGTTCCATGGAATCCAACACCTTCTTCTGACCTCCCTGGTCATTGTAAAACATGGGTGCACTCATACATGCAGACAATACACTCATACACATAAGGTAAAAAATAATAAAACATTAAGAAAAAACAAAATAGCAAGTGTTCATGAACTTTCCCTCTTTCTCTTAAAATATAAGTAGTGTACATGTATGTGTGTACATGTGAATGCATGTATCAGTGTGTAGAGGTGAGTGATGTGAACATGTACTGGTGACTCAGGAATATGCTGAGTTTGTCTTTAGGATTAGGGACCATAAAGTACAGTTAATGGGGGTGGTCCTGGCATGATTCCGGATATGCACAGGTACTGCTTCTTTCTCCATATAAAGTACTACTGAGACAGGCCATCTAGCAGCAGCTACACTCCAGTAGGAATTCAGTAACTACACGAGCCCTTAAAGCAGCTGTAAATAAGCTGCAGGAGTGTGACTTCTAACCTAACCATGCTTTCCTTTATGCAGGCTTGTTAACGAGGTCTATGAGGTGGACGATACCATCCAGACTTTGCAGCAGCGCCTGAGGGATGCAGAGGACACCCTGCAGTCGCTGGTCCACACCAAGGCTGCCCTGGAGCACAGCCTGGCTGTCAAAGCCAACACCCTGTACATCGACCAGGAAAAATGCATGAGCATGCGCAAGAGCTTCCCCAACACCCTCCGGCTGGTCGGCTTCTGTTAGGGATCCCAGTGAGAGTGGCTTACAAACTGCCAAGGAGGGGTAGAAGCAGAGCACTATCTCAGCTTCTGAGCTTTGATATATTCATGTATTAAAGGCTTGTATTGCTATTGTATCGGAAAGCCTGTCCTGTGTCTAAACCTTATTCTTCTACTATTAACTAGATTTACGAGTTATGGGAAGGAAATAAAGAAATTTTGTCAGTCTAATAGAGAAGGTAAGCAAGAGGATGTGAATGATTGTTATTGTTCTATATATAATATGAATAAGCTGAAAATGAGGATGGTTTTATCCTTGAGGTGACCAGGTCAGAAGCCATAATACTATAATGGGTGTTGATTATCCTACTTTGCTTCTCCGTTGTTATGATAAACCACTGACAACTTGGGGAGGAAAGGGTTTATTTGGCTTACAAATTCCGATCACAGTCCACCATTGAGGGAAGCCATGACAGGAACCTGGAGGCTAGAACCGAAGCACAGACCACAGAGGAATGCTGCTTACTGGCTTGTTCACCTGGTCTGTGCTCACCTTGTTTTCTTAGACATCCCAGGACCTCCTGCCCAGGGATGGTCCCACCCACAGTGGGCTGGGTCCTCCCATATTACTCAGTAATCAAGAAAATGCCTCACAGACGTGTGTATAGGTCAATCTGATAGAAGAAATTCCTCAATTGAGGTTCCTTCTCTCGGATATGTCAAGTTGATGGTTGAGGCTATCCAGCACATTGATGTTTCCCAAAGGTGTAGGTGTTAAAGGACTGGTCCCTAGAATGGTACTGCTGGAAGGTGGTGGGACATTTAGGAAGTCAGCATAATGAGCGCCCGAGGCCAGTGGACTATGGGAACCCCACCTTCTCATCTTCCTTTCACTTCCTCACCATGAGGTAAATGTTCCTCACCATTGCCTCCTGGCACTTCAGTCAGTAGTCCAAAACCGTGGGTCTGCTGGTCTTGGCTAGAACCTCAAAGCCCTGAGCCAAAACAACACTTTTCTCTTTATTATCATTTCTGGCATTATGTTATGTTGAACTGATTAGAACCCTGAACAAGGGACATTCTGAACTCTTCTTTAAAGCACACACAGGGACATCCTCTGTGGATGATGTAGTTGGGGTAGCTTAAGGACAAACAGAGTGCATTAGGAATAATATTAAGTATGCCACTTTAGTTGTGATTATGTGTTATACAGAAATGAAGAACTAAAACAGTGAGGTGCCTTGAAGAGAAGTGGATGGCTGCCTTTGAGCTCTGGCTTTGAACCCCAGGTTAAGGGACAGCAGAGTTGAAGGAGTTTTTGAGCAAGTCTGAACTATGGCAAGAGCAGCAGAAACAAGGGGGACACACAGACCTTTTGGAATAAGCCAGAGGACTTGGGAGCTCTTTACACATAGGATGTCAAGGGACCTAGATGCTACATGGGCTGAGAAGGAGCACTGCTTAAATTCTAACAGGTCCTATGGCATCTTAAAGGTTATTTTTTAATGACTATTGTTATGGTTTGAGGACATCCTTCAGAAGTAGAAAATCTTGAAACTCATGTTAGTTGTGTTTGGAAGTGAGGCCTTCACCCTCATGAATGGACTTATCTATCTACAGGGAGATGAATAGATGAGCAGTGTGGTTGTTAGGGTGCCTCTCTCTTGATTACTCTGTGTCCCTAGGTGATAGCCTCCACCATGTCATGACCAGCAGGGAGGCCTTCACCAGATACTGGGCAGACACCAACACTCTGATCCTTAACTTCCAGCCTCCAGAACCAGGAACTCAATGAACCTGGATTCTTTATAAATTACCCGTCCGTCTGTGCTATGCAGTTGTAGCAACAGAAAACATGAATACAGCTGCTTTTCTGTTTTGTAAATAAAAACATTGTACACACACATGTACAAAATATCTTGAAGTTTTTTACTAAACATCTCTCATTATTATAATACCCAGAAACTGTCACTGAATTTTGTTAACATTTTATTAAACATTCTTTCAATCTGTTTTGCGTGACTTACATAACAAATATCTAATATATGCACACACATGTATGTATGCAATATCCATTTACATATTAGATAATATAATGTTTCCAGGTATTTCCAGAGAGAAATGGTATATAACGTGCACATTTAAATTCATAATTAATAACATTGGTGATCACTGCTGATTATTTCTTGAGGAAATTTCTAGAAATACATAAGAAAAAAGAAAAGAATATTTTTTTCATATTTCTCAACTATATATTTTGTGACATATTTTTTATTTCTGTATTTACACAAAAAGTATACATATTTTTCTCAGAAAAAAATGGAATCATACTGGATGACGTGATTAATATTTGCAAAGTATTTACTATGAATGAGACAGACTTTTCAGGGTCCTATTCACCTCAAATAATGTGTGCTTTTTTAAAAATATGTATTCCTTCTATGTCATTCAACTACACAACCTTATTTTATTTAATGGCTTTTAAAGTATTCTACCATATTGAGGTTCTAGAATGGTCTGTAATAAATGCCCTACTATTAGATGTTGCCTGACTCTTTGACATTAACAACATAGCTATGATTTTGTCCTCCAAGTGTTAGGAAACATCTTTCATACTCTCCATAGGGAAAGTCTGTAGATGTAGAATTGTTGACCAAAATGTATGCACATCTTTAAAAGGCTTTCATCATGCGTCATGTTACCCTCTCAATGGTCACATGACTCTTCCTCCTCTGCACTGTATCTGAGGGCTTGTCTTTCTGAATACTGGACAACCTTCTTCTCATTTTTAGCCAGTGGTAATATAAAGTAGATATCTTACTGCTTTAACGTCTATGTCTTGGTTGGCCACCAATGGAGAACACTTTCCATTTGGCATTTATATTTCTTCTTTTGATAATCGCCCTCTTCTGTTATTTGCCTGTTTCTTCCACCTTGAGTAGTCGTTTCCTTTTTTCCCTTATTTTTAAGAGTTACCTGTATGTCAGTCATGTTTGTGTCGTACACTAAATGTATCTGTGTGTGTGAACGTAAATCACTCATGTGAAAATAATAAGTTTTCTGTGTAATTTATACCTTTGGGTTTTGCTCAGAAAGCACTTCTTCATCCTAAGATTCTGCCAATTCTTTCTGATAAGTTGCACATGAAGATTGAGATAATGTCAGCTTTGAACCTTTGGCTCTGAAAACTCTGAAACCGGAAGATGACACTGCAAGAGGAAGAGATTCTCTCTTATTTCCCACATTGCCCTCCCTCTTTTACTGTCTTTCTCAGTATCCCCGTGTTCTCCCTCTGCCTTAAGCACTGTGCATTAACCCCCACATCCATTCCCTCTCCTCCTCCTACTTTTGTTACCTCTGTCTCCCTCTCTCTTTCCCTTCCTTTCTCTCTTTTCCCTTCTCTGTTTCCTGAAAGTGTTTAAAATCTAGGGTAGTCAATTCCACCCCCAAATTTTTTTAAATGCTAGAAGAGTTGACAATCAAATGATAAACTAAACTTATACCATGGCTATTTTGTGCGCTCAATATAATTTTAGAAAGCAAATTGAAGGTTTTGTCATTTTCCCTTTTGGTCTAATGGATATAGAAGGTATATGGATGTTACTAAAACATTTAGCAATCAGAGTAATCAAATGTCCTAATTTTATGTGTGACAAACACAAATTCACATATTC